GAGGATGGAGTGGCCTTAGCTGGACTCTTCTTGTTATAGCCATGGACAGAACCATGTTTCCTGTGACACAGAGACTGCATCCAGGGGGAGGCAATGCCTCAGAGCCAAGAGGGTTCAGTGTCGGTGCCCCTCGGCCCCAGGGGGTGAAATTTAGCGGGGACAGGTGTCCCAAAGGAGAGACTGTGCCCTTTTTTGGGATGGGACAAAGCATCCTTAAAAGGACAACCCTAGAAGCAGCTCTGGTCCATGTGCAGTGATGAGAGCACTGGACATGGAAGGAAGATTTCACAATGGCAGATGTTCTCCGAGCGGTGCCACGAGTGACATGGAAACCCAAGAGGTCTGAACTATGTTTCCAGGGGAAGCCTATGGCACAAGAGGGACTCCTCACTCCTTGTTGAACTGAGAATTGATTATCTAAAGGGTGATGATGGACCAAGAGTTGGTGATTTAGGGGATGGAGGTATTGGAAATTTGGTGGCGGGAGGAGGAAATGTTTTTGGAAAGTTTTCATTTCCATGTGTGTTTCTTGTTACTTAGAGTTGTAGTTTAGTTAATAAAGTTTTCTTTATTTCTAAGTGGAGGCCTGTTTTGTTTATTGCTGGTCACATCTCACATCAGGCACCAGGGAGCATATATTTTCATGGGGGCACTGGCATTGCGCCAGTGTCAGACCATGACAGGGGTACCTGACAGACTTCAAGTTCTGTTTGTCTGTTCTGTTTGTCTGACAGAGTTCAAGAAGCATTTGAACAATACTCCTGGGCACACAATGTGATTCTTGGGGATGGTGCTCTGCAGGGCTGGAGTTGATGATCATTGATGGCCCCTTCCAAGTCAACATATTCTATGATTCTGTGATTTAATTGCTGAACAGTTGCAATATTTTGAAAGAGGAGAATCCTTTACAAAAATAATTTTGTATTTGTTTACACTCATTCTATTTTCATCCTCCTGTTGTCTCCTCTCTCCTTAGCACTGGAAATCATAGCTCCAGCATGGAAACCTCAACAGATGGGCAGAACTTCCCTTCTGAACTATGGCATCTTCAAGAAGGATTCACACACTTATCACTTGCTTCTCCTCCCATTTCCTGCTCCAGCAGAATGGAGAAGAGAATTGTAAGTAAAAAGGTGAAGATCATAGGTTGAGGTAAGAACAATTTACTGGAAACAGCAATGAGATAAGAAAGCAAAAAGTAACTGAAATAAAATAAATTTTAAAAGTATACAAAAGAGAGGGTGATTTCACAGGCAAAAATGCTCACTGGAGATCCCAAGACAATGAAACTGGCAGATGTCTTCCCTCAACCCGCCAAGTTTGTTTGACCAAAACCCACACAGAAGTCCAAAGAATCCCTTCTCTCTGCCACTGCAATGACCTGAGGTGGTATAGAGTAAACTCTGTCTCCTGGCCAAAAGCGGGACAATGAGGCAAAAGGCTTTACCTACAGCTGGAAAGCATGGCTTTGTACTTCAGCCAAGCTCACCTAACAATCTGCCCCTGCTGGAAGAGGTGCTAATAATCAAGCTGCACCTCAGCACCTTTATCTGTCAAACCAGGTGGTCATCTGCCAGCTGAGTTAGGGAATGAAGCAAAAATATTAATTTCTTTTAAATCACAGACTTGATTTCCCACACATTGGCTAATGGAAGTGACTTCCATATCACACTTAGGTACAGACCTAACTGTGGTGTCCACTCAAAGCTGATGCTATCAAGAAAGATTGACCAGCTCTAACAATCTGTACACCAGGAATAATTTGTACCATAAAAGCAGCAGAACTCCTTTCACTACCTGTGTCTTGTCAGGGAAATGTAAAGCACAGAAGTAAAGTCACTGTTTTTAATGTTATATTGAAGTATTGTAGCAGATAATATCTTCCCTGCTGTGATTTCTCACCTCTTGCCTATCATGGTTCAATATGATGTAGTCCTTAAAATGCAGAGCAAAGCCTCAGAAACAGGGGTGGTCAGAATCTTGATGACTCAGTGCAAATATTTCTCAACTTCTTTGACTGTTAGGAAAATGAGCTGAGAACAGCAGGTCAACACTTTCCTCTCAACAGACTGTGTAATAACTTGAAATGAGACTCATTTGGAAGAAAGAATTTATGCATTAAAGTGTTATTTGAAATTTTGTGGTTAAACTTGCAGTTCTCTTGGAAGTTTAGTTTCTGTCTTTTGATATTTTTGCATTGTGTCTATCCCCTAGTAGTCCCTCATGTTAGAGCAGCTCACTTGCTTCTGACTGATTACTTGGTGATCTTTTAGGAAATGCCTGTAACTCAAGAAAATAGAATTATTTCTTGCCTGCCAAGCCTTTCTGTGGTCTGTGTATTTCAACAAGGTGATATTAACAATGTATCATAGTGACACCAACCTTCATCCAATTCATTAAACCGACTTATGACGTGTAAGGGGATAAGAAGGAAAAAATGTCACCAGGATCAAACTTGATATTTCAACTTTTTAATAAGGCAAGCCAGAATGACATTCTTAAGGCAGTTCCATGTTGCCATCTTAACATCCACACCAGATCAGTTAAATTGCAAGTTGTTATTGATAGCCATGGTATGTTCAGAGAGGTTGACAATAATGCTGTTTTGAAGATGTCCCAGTCTTAGCAGATGGTATTTGTGTAAAGTGAGGTGCTGGATTTGCCTTTAATTTCCTTGCAGCACTTGCTATATTGTGCCGGTTTTAACAACTAGCAGGGAAGTAAATTTCAAACAAGCCCCACCCTTTTGCCCCACCCATTCCAATACTGGAGGAACAATGAGGAGAAAATATAAATTGGAATAACAATTTACTAAATTTGTGAGAGGTGGTGCAGTATTAATGGCAAAAAGTTTATAAAAGAGGGAAGTGCCCACAAAAAGTTATTCACCATTGGGAACAGAAAAAGAGGCTTCCAAAAGCAGTGCTGCTCATGTGGTTTCCAGACAAAGGCAATACATTGAAAGAGCTCTCATGGCTTAAAGTCCTTTCTGGACACCAAGTCTGAAAAAACCCCAAAACAAACTACAATGAATTGGGACAAAACGACCCCCTTAGTAGCTAGATCACCTGTGTCGGGCTGCCTGCTGTTTCTCTGGACCAGTGTGCTTGGGTGAGCTCAAGCAGTGCTCACCCAGCGTGACTCAGTGCTGGGGGCACACACTCTGCTGGGCTTGAAGGGGAGGGAGGCCTGGGGGCAGAGGGGAGGCTGGGGCCACCAGCTGTCCCAACGCCTTCTCTCTGGAGAGAGTCAGGCAAGAAGGTGAATTTCTGGCACTTGGTTCTTTATGATGAAATTTTGTCCCCACCAATGATTAAGGTGGTATGAAATTAAAGGGCCTGAAAAGCCCCAACCCCTTTTCTCTGTAACCTGGACATGTTCTCTGGGACATATGGTTGCAGTTTTTGTATCAGTATCAGCTCCAGCTTCCGTTACTGGCAGCCTCTGTTCTGTAGAGATACCGTGGTATATTCCTCAAGGAATGCAAGGTTCTTGTAGCATTCCCCCTTGCTTCAAAGGCAGCTCAGCAGGGCCCGCCAGACCTCTTAAAATAGCAAACATGGAAGAATGGAACTCCTGATTACCAGTAAAAGCAAAATAAACAAAAAGATGCACTCTGGCTGACTCTAATGTCACATTCTTAAGAGAACGTGTCATGCTGTTGAAAAAGTCCCAGGATATTTTAAACTGGTTTTATTCAGAAGGAAAACATGATGAATAACATGCAAGGATATTCACTTAGACCATGATTCATTAATTGCCCAAATGAAAGCTGTGATAATATTAATCAAGGATGGTGAAAAGGATATATTTTTTACTTTATTATTATTTTATTTTTATTCCAAACTGTTATACTTTATTTTTATTCTGCCTTCATTTGCACAAAACTAGCTTCATTAAGAAATCTTTCCAACAAAGCTTTTCTCAAACAAACCGTCCTTTTGTCAGCTTCTATCAAGATAAATATTTTCTCCTTGTTCTTAAGGCAAACCTTCCCTCTCACTGAGACTCTTGCAATGTGACAAGCCTGCATTATCCACTATATGAGAAGATCTCCAATATAATTTGCATGATGTTGAGCAGCAGAAAATGACATTTCAGGCAGAAGTATTTGAAACATTCTGAAGAGTAGATTTTGTTTTTCAGCCAGAGGAGGCTTGCAATGAGCCAAAACCAGAAGAGAGCGTTAACATTTAGGTGAATAGTGACAGTGATGGTAATGGAAAAGGGTAAGGTATGAAAGGAATGAACAATTATGATAATTTTGTTTGTTTCTCAAAAGATGAGATATTGTGGATGACAGAATACAAACATGCTTCTGCAAGTAGTTATTCCTCTATTTCCAAGTAACCTATTACTTGTCATACATGCATATTTATAAAAAAAAGTCGGAGTCTATTTTCTTATGTGTTTGCAATAGCACATGAATTAAAATAGCACACAGATTAGAAAAATAAAACTTTCTTCTGTAGATGTAATAGGTAATGATACTCAGTTGCTGCTGTAGTTGACAGTAGACATTACTGAAAACAGGCCACAATGTAAAATAACATCTCTTGACAGACTCATGTACATAATGTCTTTAGGTATTCAGAAAAAACCAAAAAAAACCGCAAACAGTTCACTCTTCTACATCGCAGACCTTAAGAAAGCAAACACTTTGATAGAAATGTATCCATGTTTTAAGGACTTAAGAACTATGATTTAGATGGCTGGAACTCCTACTTGACCTCAAGCTTTCTCTGACAACTCGACCAGGACACTTACTGTCTCATCAGTTTCATTTGTAAAAGGAGATGATCCCTATTTCACATTTTTATATTCCAGGCTTAGGGATGAGCAGAGGGAGAGCAGCCCTGTGACAACTTGGGGGTGCTGGTGGGTGAGAGGCTGGACATGAGCCAGCCATGGGCACTCCCAGCCCAGAGAGCCAAACGTGTCCTGGGCTGCATCCAGAGCAGCGTGGGCAGCAGGGCAGGGAGGGGATTCTGCCCCTCTGCTCTGCTCTGGGGAGAGCCCACCTGGAACCTGCATCCAGCTCTGGGCTCCCAGCACAGGGAGGACATAGAACTGCTGGAGTGGGTCCAGAGGAGGCCTTGAAGACAATCAGAAGGCTGGAGCACATATTCTCTCCTACAAAGACAGGCTGAGAGGGTTGGGGTTGTTCAGCCTGTGAACAGAAGGGTCCAGGGACACTTTAGAGCTGCCTTCCAGTATGTGAAGCAGGCCAGCAGGAAAATAGAAGGACTTTTCACAACGGTGAGCCGCTTTAAACAGAAAGAGTGTAGTTTAAGACTAGATATTAGGACAAAAATCCTTTACTGTGGGGGAAGTGAGGTACTGTAACAGATTGCTTCAGGAATCTGTGGATGCCCCATCTCTGCCAGTGTTCAAGGCCAGGAATATTGAGAAACCTCGTGTAGTAGAAGATGCTCCTGCTTGTGGCAGTGGAGTTGAAACTAGGTGATCTTTAAGATCTCTTCCAACTCAAATAATTTTATGGTTCTATGATTCTATGATATTTGGTTGGCAGAGTTTCTGACACAAGAAGCAAACTCCATGTTGTCAATTGAAGAGTCCCATATGAATGTGACTTCTAGGGAGGTTCACCATGTCATATAACACCTTTTCCTAGGATACAGCTGAATAATTAAACTTTTCAATGAAAGTCAAGAAGAGACTGTTGTCAAAATGAACAGTGGCAGTAATATATTTTAAGATAATATTTTTTACACAGTTTAATCACCATTGTATCTTTTCATTACAGTATGAATACGCAATGCTGATCTATTCTACACCATTGCCGTCCCAGCAGAAACCTCTTTGACCCTGTCAAACTAGGTTGCAAGATCAAAACCTGCTGTTGCTGCCCAAGAAAATCCTAGCCCAGTGTATTGAAGAACAGTTACTAGACCTACAGGGGTAGCAGCAGTCTCACCAAGAACTTTCACAAGCCTGACAACAGCAGCAGCCAGCTGCCAGAAGAAAACAGCAGGCATTTTTCATTCATGCAGACCCATTGAAATGGGCCTTTTCTTTTGGCTTGTACAAGTCTCTGGACATGTTATTTGCTACAGATATTTTGCCAGATCCATTCCTGCAATTTGACTCACTGAAAAAGGACGGTGTTTATTTCTATTAGGAATGGTAGTGGCCAAATTCTTACCACAGCTGGATATGGTAGGGTGGTCTTGTTGTTTCTTTCTGCTTCTCTACCCTTTATGGTTTCAGTTAAGTCTGGAGAAAGTGTAAGGAATATTGGGAAATAATGGAATACTTTTTCAGAGGTAATCATTATGCAAGCCAGGACAGAATATATCCTCTGAGATCTTCAACTGGTGTAGCTTGTGCTCATTTGATTTATAAATTTGGCTCTGCAAGAGGAAAATAGATAGATTTCAGGCTGTCTTATTTAATAGAAGCCCACTGACAACTTTGAGGGCTATGTTGGTTTTGTTCTTTTCCAGTGCAAGGCCAGACCTATATTCTACAGATAAAGGTTGACCTGCAAAACTCCTTTCCCTGTGAAGTCTGAGATTTTTGTCTACAGAGGGTGGTACTTCAGACAAAATGTCATAGCATAATTTTATCTATCTTTGTGCTATCAGTCTTGAAATAAACTCTGTTACCATATAGGTTTATTTCAGGAAATAAAATAATGCAAATGTTAAAAAAGACCTAGTGTGCTTGAAAGCTTATGTATTTTTCCAACTTTATCAGTTGCTCTAGTAACAGACATTATCACTCTTTTTCCTCCACAAACCATGCCTTGTTGTTTTCCTTACTTTCTTTACTGTTGAAAATGTACGAAGAGCAGGAGATGGTTTGAAGGGAGATTAGGTAGCTAAAGTACTTCCTTCATATAGATATATTTTTTAGCTGGGCCAAATGGATTCCACTGATGCAGTATGCCATTTAACATTTCTTTCTTTTGCTGTCTCTTAGTTGATTCTTTTTCTGCTCTGCAAGTCTTAGTCTTCTTCAGATATGTGCCCTGACTGCTTTTATACTAATGTAGCCATTATTGCCACAATACTCAGGGTATTTGAGTTCCAAGGAGAATACAGATTTATTGTATAGCTTTGGTAGCTTTATAACACAGTTATGTTTGTTCCAAATTTTTGGCTAGTCTTTACTGGGTTAAATTATCATATTCTCTGTCAAAACCAAGAGTCACCTAAAGAGACTTAATTTGTGGCAGAAACAGTCAGAAGTAGTCAAAAAAATCCATCTGTATAAAAAATCTGTTTGTAAAACCAAGCCATAAATTCTCTTCAAGGGCCTCAATGCTCTTTTCAGCTGCACCTACACAAATGGTGTAGGCAAGTACATCTTTGCTATGTCTGCCCTTGCTGATGGCAAGACACAAACCAGCTCTCTTCCAGGAACTGAATAGTCTCATTCAGCATATGTACAGCTCTGAGCTAATGCATTTAAATGGTCCTGGCCTGCAGCCAGCAGTAGGCACACAAGTGAAGCAGACATGACCGTCTGTACCTGTCTGTGCCTCCAAAAGTAGAGTCCTTATCATTGTTTCCAGCATTCATGGTATTGGACACTTGCTAAAACCATCAAAATATTCTCTTTGCTCTTGATGTACCCAGCTGCATGTCAATTAATCCAGCAAAGGAAAGCAGAACAATGCCTGCAGCAAGCAGTTATTTATTTCCCATGTCTTACTCTCCATTTTTTCCACTTCTATTCAGCTGCATCAGCTTAATTCACTGATTATTATTTTTTGTTTTATCTATATTTACCCTCAGCTGTTTCCTTTATCATATGCAGGATGCTAAAGGCTACGTTTATTTCAATTTTGCTCACCCTCAGACAACTATCCTTTCAGTGGACATTGCTGCAGGTAAAATTGAGCTTGAATTAAAGGCTGTTGTTACAATGCCATGGCTCAGACATTTATGTTACCCTCTTGTTCAGTAATGTCCACCGGGCTTCTCTGCCTTGCAAATTTGTTTTAAAATTTACTTCAAATTTCTGCCAGAATGCATTTTCATTTAGTTTTTCCCCCAAATCATATTTTTGTTCAGTGGTGTGACACTTGCCTTGCATAGCTCATGCCCTACTGTCTGTGTCAGGAAGTCCCTGCAAAACTTGACATAGGGAGCTCTGAAGAAATGCAGTGAGTCATATTAGAAAGAACATCTGGTTCTAGGAGATCATAAGACAAGGCAGGCTTGACTTTTTGAGTCAGTGATCCTGTTACGGGTATACACAGTCTTCTTTGGTTCACAAGCAAGGGCTTCAAGACCTTTGCAATGCACCATTTGTGTAGAGGTTGCTGTAAGCTTAACATATGTTATATTAGGTTACAAACATTCTCACTGTAAGACTTCTCTACCCTACATAAGCAGGATTCAGGGGACAAATGTAAATAAGAATTGAAGTCTTATGGTCTGGTCATGGAAGAACCAAGTGTGACAACTGAAAAATTTCTTTTCTTTCTAAGTGGATACTTCAGTCATGGAAACTGATCAGAAAGGATTCACAATCATTAACTTTAAAAACCATGCTCAGATGGTAATTTTTTTCCTTCAAGCCTAATATCCCTAGTTGAGGACCATTTCAAGAACCAAGTGTTCACTGACCACAGGAGATGCCAGGCACTGATGGTGTGTCTCACATGGCCACAGGATAAAAACTGAGTGGTCTGTTCCAAGCAACGCTATGCATCCAGCAGGATGAAGCAGAGAGATTCTTGAGGAAGCATGCACCACTTCCAGAGCAGAAGTAATTCAGTTTCTGCCTAACAGCCTTATACCTGTCATTTTTATAGCCCAATTCCTCTGAATCTCAGAAAAAAAGTGACTGTGTGTCCCAGCTTGTACTCTGACATGATGGAGGTTTAAGAGTTATTTAGGTAGGATGTAAAGGGCTTCTAAGAACCCCAGAGTGTCCTGCTTTTGTACCATATATGTATTTTCTCTGAATGATACATTGGCTAAGGAAACCTAGACCAAGACCAGGAACTTGGTAATATGTAAAACAGAGGGGGATAAAGAGAGCAGGGATGGGGAGGGGACACGAAGAAATAACACGGGCCCCCAGTTTGCCACCCTGGTCAAGCATTTCTTGCCTGCAAGCAAGGTTGGAGAAGTTCTCCTCAGCCTGTCTGAAAGTGGCAGAACAAGGTTTTGCTGCATCTGTCCCTGTATAGTGTGGGAAAAGGTAGTGATAGATATATTGAATGCAACCCGTGCTGGCAACTCTGTTCTTGGGAGCTCCTGGTTGTTTCATGTGTCTAAAGCTGTTCCATAGGTCTAGCAAGCAGTGGACATAGTTGGCTTCCTGATTACTCGAAGAGTTTGCATTTCTGCACCTTTTCATGAATGCCATTTGAATGCCATTCAAGCATTTCTAAACCAAGTGCTTGGGATCAATTAAAAAATATATAACAATTGTGTCGTATGAACTTTTCTTCTAAGTATTTCTCATCTAACATTTTTCAGAGCACTTGGTCAGTCTTACAGCAGTCTGTCAGGTTATCATACCTGCTCATCATAGGGGAGTTCTTTCATACTCAGTTTGACCTGATTTTGATGTACAAATCAAAATTCAAAGAGGCTGGCTCAAGTGCTTGCAAGTAAGTGATAAGAAGCAAGAAAGATATTAAAACAAACAAACAAACAAACAACAACAAAATAAAAAAAACCCTCCAGGTTTTGGGCTACAGCTGATCTCTTAATTACCTTTGGTCATATTCTGGAAAGGAGGAATATACTTCCAATTTATAATTGTCTTTCTCCACCCACTTCCAAAGAGAGAAAAAGTCACGTGGGGATGTTGCAGAGGGATTATGGAGGTTTATCATGCTACCATTTTTCAGGAGCTCAGTCCTGTAATGTCATCAACACACACTGCTTTTGCAATTTCAGATTTAGTAAAAGCACTTGCCTGGTTGGAGCTCTTCCATGATCAGGAATGTCCAACAAATTTGAGGAAAGAAATGAGGAGTCTGGGGTGTCCTTTGGATCATTTATTGCACTGAAAACTTCTCTCAGAGAGGAGCAAAGTAGTAGCAAGGTTCAGTAAAGCAATTCCTTATAAAGAAAGCAGAAAGGATCAAATTTGACAGGAGAACAGCAAACAATACAGGTTTTCAGAAGAAATATTGTGACAGTCAAGATACACAGAGCTTAAAAAGTATTAAAGAAGAACTGTAAAAATGAATGTATCATGCAGTTAGTGCTCCTTCAAGTGTGGTATGAAACCGGACAGCCTATTACAGCAGCTCTAAAGACACAGACAGTACCACTTTGTACAAGTCAATGCACTAATTTGCTGCTTACCGTCTTCTACCAGATACTCTGTATTCCACTTCGGCAGTGCTCCTTGACTGTATTAATCATATCCATTCTGATTCTCTCCCTCTTGCCTTTTAGACTCTGTGTCCTTGTCTGATGAAGATCCCCACTGCCCCCCTCAAAGACTCATTGCCCAAGGAAACATGCAGTACCCAGGACAAGGCAGTGACTCATCTAATCCCTGCTGGTGCTGGCCTGCTTTGGAAAAGCATTGTGTCTATGTGGCATAACAGAGAGGAGATGCTACTGCAGAAATGCCTCAGACTGGCCAGCACTCCTGGTCCAGGTCACAGCCTAGGGTCTCAGCAGTCATCTCATCCTCCCCATTGTGCAAGACCAGCACTGCACATCTCTTAGTTCACTGGCCCTGGGATGACACTATAATTTTGGCTTATTAATTAGAACTATAGCCCCTTTTCAAACTTTACGTCAATACTGCGTGTGGCACCTTGGAGGGTACTAAGGGTCTTAAACCCAGAAACAATATTATTTCTTTTATAAAACCAACAAAAAACCCCCAAAATTATCAGAGCTGGCATAATGAAGATTCATTCCTGTGAGTCCACAGGAATGAATTGTCCTGCTGTGTTCCTTGCCTAAATATGTAAGGTCAATCCAGCTGTTACCAGTGGGGCAGAAAGGAGATTTCTTCTAGAACAAAATGCTAGGGACTTCTATATATTTTTTTTTAGTGCCTTCCAGCACAGATCATCTGCTAGGACCATCTGGATGTCATGAGTTCAATGAATTTCCTCTGTTAAAGGTAAACTTGGCTGTTGTAGAGTGGCAGATGCTTTTTCTATTTGTGGCTGATATTGCTTGCACTTTTCTATTGACAATAATCTGTGATAAAAATTTTGTTTGGCTTCACTTGACCTTCTCCATTCTACCCTTTTCCAGAAGGATTTAAAAAATAATAATTTGTAGAACTCTTTAGGAAAGTTGAGCCCAAGAAGAGCCTTTACTATCCACCACTCATTTGTATTATAAAGCACACTCAGTCCCAAAGACAGAATAAAGAAATTATAATGGAGATTTTCTATTATTGGTGCCCTTCTTTCAGTGAGACTTCCTGTTTGTGGTAGTCTATTAATTGACTTTCATGGCACCTGAACAGCTAATAACTCTGAACGCCCTGCAGTATTCCCAAGGAATAGGGGAGGGCATGGATAAGTGTCTGGAGGCTGTTCTTAATAAAAAGTTTGAATGCATCCTCTGGTATCTATGTTACAGAGGATTCGCAGAGATTTAGTGATGCTTGAAGCAGTCGTTGGAGAAAAACTTGGGCCATATTTGAAACACCCACCGCCAATGTCACATTTACATATCACATTTATTTTTCTCCTGTGAGGAAGCTGGGATTTGACAGCTGTCAAGAGTACAAGGGCTGGGTCATTCTGTGTTTGTTGGAGTTTAAGCAGTATGGATGGCACAGGCAACTGTTCTGAGCTCTGTTTTCCATGTGGTGTCAGTGGGGCCCTGCAGACAGCTGCTCTGTAGGGGATGGGTATGGACTGAAAGAGCTGGGCTAGCAGGAACATGGCTGGGGCTGTTTGACAGTGTTGGCTTTAGTGTAAGTATCTACAAGAAGCCAGTGCAGTTGGCTTTATACTGATGAAATAAACAAGTGTTCATGCCCTGGTTTGTGCTTTTAGAAGCACTACAGACTAAATGATCTAACTTATGATTTTCCACACAGAAGTCTATGACAGGCCAAGCCGTTAAAGAGGGCCAATACCCTCACTGATGATGTTCGAAGATATAACAAGTCTCTGCGGCAAGAAGTGAATGCAGATGGGACATGTTCAGCATTCCAGGTTGAGTCCTTGACGTATCCTGTGCAAGTCTGAGACACAGTCCACTAATGCTTGAAGTTAGGTTCATGGGAACTATAATCTCAACCATGCACACTTAGTACTTTGACTATAGAAGCAGAGATCCCATTATTTACTCCATCACAAAGGCCTTTGTAAATTATAAGTGCACAGGTTTTTATACAGACCACAAAACAGGTGCAAGGTGGTCTGTTAGATATTTTTGAACTTGTAGAACTTTGTCTCCTTAGACCACATGTGAATCTTGTACTTTGAGCAAAGTGGTTTGCAGATCCATGCGAGCAATGCATGCACTCTGAGCCACCAACTCAAACAATTAAGCAGGAAGGGAGACAAAGGAGGAGAGCAGGACCTACATTTCCTTGCCTGTAAACAAAGACTGTGGAAGCAGGGGAAAAAACCAAAAAAAAGGACAAGAAAAGCCAAAGTCATGTTTAGAACACTTGAAACAAAACCTCACCATTGAAAGGGAAGAGTGGTGACAAAACACGATGGTTTTATCACAGTCTGCTGATCTCTCCACATACACCCTTTTATCTTCCACTAGGCTTCAGGAGCATTCTGACCTAAGTTCTATTAGGCATTTAGCTTCCAGCTTAGAAACATGATGGAAGAAGCATACCACAGGAAAGTAGTTTTGCTTCTGTGCTTTTTTTCATGCTTACTTTCAAGCACAGGTTTTAGTGTTCTGTAATAATGTGTTGTCATGAAAACAGCAGTCTGCCTTAGTCTCTCTGATATGCTGCTGGTTGCTCTTTTAGCTATGTAACAGCGTGTTCCATCTTCATTTGCTTTGAAAGACTAAGGAGGTAAGCTGTTCCAGGATGCTGTATATTTAAATAGTAGGCTATTGCATACAATGCAGAAAGGTCATCTAAAGTGATAGCATTTCTACTATGTGTGCAATATAGATACTGGTTTACCACTGGAAATGTTGCAGAAGGACTCTCCTCTCCCTACAGCATCTGTGTTCTTACCTTCTATGCTGGGAGCAGAAATGCTGAGGAAATGACTCTTGGCCT